CCCCAATGTTTGCCTTCTTACTTCGTCGCCCTGACCCTCCAGGTAGGATTGAGGAGAAGAGAGGGATGGGTATAGTCCCCCGTAAGTATGGGGTATATCGGTATCTTATTATAATATACCCAAAGCCATATTCTATCTACTTAAGGGGGACTATATCCACGTTTTAGGCAAAGACGCTTGCGCTCAGAACAGGACCGGTGACCTTGCTTGTGCTAAGGATATCTTCCAACCTGGACTCTTACAAGCAGGGTGCTGAACGTCTCAAAGGGTCGGGGCCGTACATGAGGTGTGCAAGTGCTGACCCTGGTGCTAGCAACATCTCGGCGTAGGTGGGTACAGACGTACATCCATGACCTTCACATATCCTCGTTGGATTATGGAGAGCTCCTCGATGAGCTCGTGTTAGAGGCAAGGTGTTTCCCAGCGATTTATGCGTCAGGGCGGCAGCTTGGGATCATTGCTTTTCAGGTAGAGCATATTGGCAGCGTTGTGACGCAGAGTGTCATCTACACCGCAGTGCAAGCCGCGGCCAGCCCGATCTATGATGCTGAGATGTCAGAGGATGCATGACACGATTCGCCTTAGACGCTAGGGGTTTCTGAGCCGTTTTGGCCTGATCTGTGGGTCCTCATAGTAAGGTAGGGGCTCTCGCTTTCCCAGATTTTGCCGAGGTGGTGACATTTATCTTTTTGATCTACATGCTCTGGAGCCCCGTGAAGATGGACGGCAGCGCAGTAGCCGCCGAGGTCCGCACGCATTTTGACCGCTAGACGCAACACTTCATGTAGGGGTTTCTTGACATGGGTCCAATTGTTTGAACTTCTTGCGATGGGAGTGGTGTCTGCTTAAACTATCCTATGCTAGAATGATGAATCTCCACTTGGAGGGGTCAGGCTTCCTGGAGACGGAACTGAAAAAATCTTGCCCGTTGAAGCCTCTGTGTCCCAACTCTACGCATCATGAATCACCCTGACCCTACACTTTGTAGTGGTGAGTACCGGTGCGGAATGACCGCGCGTCGCGACACAAGGCCCATGACTGAATTTGTGAGCAGCCTGGCAGGTCTTCATTTCCACCAGCAGATACCTGAAGGTCAAGTGTCTCACATCAGCTTTCACAGGGCTTTCTGTTGGAAGCTTGGCTCGGTTTCATTGTGTAGCGAAGAACAATGGCAGTGCTACAAAGAATATTGAATTGAAACCACCACTTAGTAGAAAAAAGTCGGGACGATGCTCACAGGCATGGCTTTGGTCTGAAAGCGATCTCAGCATATTCTTCATAATAGTAGTGATACTCACAGTAGTAGTAACAGTAAGAGTAAGGAAAGCAACAGTAGGAACAGCAAGAATCACATTGATAATTCAGCTTCTGACTGCCAGCCCTGAGGAATTCTGCTTTGGGCCATTGGCCTGGACCTGCCCGCCGCATTCGGCTTGCTGTCCTTCCTGGCCAACTTTCTGCCAGGCGCACGTTGCATGTGGTGCCTGTTGACATCCTCGGCCGGACCTCTAGGTAGTTTCCTCAAATAAGAACCCAAGAAATAAACCCCATATCCCCTAATTTTGGCTCAGCGCTTTATACACTATGTAATCCCTATGTCCCCTTTTGAAGATGTGGAAGGTAGCCCTAGCTTTGGGAAACCCCCCAGACGAAGAAGCATGTGCAGAGTGAGAAGGCATTGGCTCACCAGCAGCTTCAGTGTTGCCATGCATCCTCGCCATCATCGACGTGAGAAAAACGCCTACCCAGGTCCGGCACTGCTTCATCTTCATAATGACAAAAATAGCAATCGTAATAATAGTATTACCAATAATATTAGTAGTCATAGTATTAATAGAGTTATAGCAATAGTAGTAACAATGATAGTAATGGTTTGCTTTGGGAGGGATGATAGGGATGTAGACTGAGGTTTTGCTGGCCTTTGTGCTGCAAGCGATCATGCACTTCTTCATCGACTTTGTGAATCTCGGATTGAACTCATCCTTGCAAGAATCCAGCTCCGCGATGTCAAATCTTGTGCAGGATAGAGCCTGTGTTCTTTGGCATCTCCGTCGAAATCCATTCTGTGCCCCGGACTCGCAGATGGGTATTTGCTAGCACTTGGGTCCAGCAGACCGCCACGTGCCTCTTTTCTCGATTAGACTGCGGCCTGTGCCAGTTCAATGTTGCTGCTCAATCCAGGTGATTGTCATTCTTGGGATCTGGTTTTTCTACCAGGCTGACTCGCATGTCTCGCAAAGCTTGGCAAGACAGGCTTTTTGTGACTTTATGTGCTGCAGGGTAGCGTGGCCTGTCATGTGCATGGTTTGCGCATGAATCTCATCACCTCTGCCGGGGGAATGTGACAGCAGCAGGTGTGGGGGGTTCCTGGAATGCTGCTGTCAGTGCCACTGCTTTCAGTGGTGAGGACCGGAATTTCCAAACTCTGATTAAAAGGCAGAAGCTTACGTTAAGCAGTTCATTGAACAGCCGTCGTCCCCTGGACTTGATTTCCGAAGCTGAGTGGCTCAATGCCATGCTAGACATGCTTGAGGTTGTGAACAGCAAGGTAGCAATGGACTTTAAGGGATTAGGAGCCAGAAGTTCAGCATATCGTTGAATCGTGCGCCAGCTGCAGGGAGATTGTGTCGCGCAATGTCCTGCGCAGCGGATGGCTGCGAAGCCGCGGGCACAAAGCGCTGTGGCCGCTGTGGGACTGTCGCATATTGCAGCTCAGATTGTCAGCGCCAGCACTGGGCTGTGCACAAAGCTGGATGCCGGCCCACCGCAAGCTTTTGCTGCCCTCGTATGATTGAAGCCATGGAGGAGGCTCGTAAGCGCGAGGGGGAGGACCTCGCTCCGGACCTGGACCGCGAACTTGCGCGGCTTCGATCACATGCCTCTGGCCCTTTGGAGGTCGACCTAAGCAACAACGAGCTAAACAGGTCAGCAGTGGAAAGACTTGGCCAAGCCGCTATGGCAACATCCGCCGTGCAACGCCTCGTGCTGGATGATTGCCGCCTGGATTCTGAGGCTGGTGCCGTCTTGGCAAAGCACTTCGCGGCGCTTACTCAGCTGCAGGTCCTGAGCCTGGCACACAATCAGCTGGAGGTTGGCGGGGCTGAGGCCGTGATTTCAGGATTACGGGAGGGTGCCCGCGCTGGGCAGAAGCTCAGGGAGTTGAGCCTTGCAGACAACTTACTCGGTCCACGCGCAGGCTTGTGCGTAGGCGAATTGATCGTCGAACTTCTCGAAGTTGAGCTAATTTCTCTAAGCCTTGCAGAGAATTTTCTACAGGAAGAAGGCGGCCAACTCTTGGGGCAGACCTTGTGTAGAAGCAAGGGCAAAGCAGGCTCCTTCAGCCTCGACTTGTCGGCCAATGATTTGCGAGTGGCTGGTGCAAAGTCCCTGGCACCTCTTTTGGCTTCTTTTCCCGCCTTGGGATCTCTGGAGCTGCACAGCAATCGTATCCACGACTTCGGCACCATTGCCTTGGCTCAGCGCCTGGAAAACAACTCAACGTTAACCCACCTGGGCTTGGCGGAGAACTTGGTTGGCGATGATGGGGCCGTGGCCATTGCAGGTGCGCTGGCAAAAAAAGGCGCCCTACGCACGCTGGACCTTTGTGGAGGTCATGGACAAGTCATACGGGACAAGGGTGCCTTGGCCTTGGCAGAAGCCCTGAGGTCAAACACGACACTACAGAGTCTTGAGCTTGATGGCAATGCCATCGCTGATACTGGCGGACGTGCTCTTGAGGCAGTCCTGACGACAAATCAGAGCCTGACATCCCTCACGCTGCGTGGAAACCAGTTTGACTATACTACCGTAGAGAGCATTATGGCCGGGCGGGTGAAACACTTGAGCCTGTGAGTTGCTTTCTTCAGTGACGTTTCACCTGCGGCAGCTGGAAACTCGGCAGCCGCAGCTTGCATCAGTTCATACAGGGAGTTGAGACAACATGTAACACGGAAGTTCCGGCCCCATAGCTCCCTTGGCAAGAATGTGGTGCGCCCGGAGGATCATGATGAAGTCCATGAAGCATGCCGGGCCAAGCGGAGGAGCGTCTAACATGCAGAAACGGCTTGTTCTGCATTGTCCACAGCCAAGTGTTATTACTATGATAATTACCCATTATTACTATTGTTATTGCTATTACTGTCATCCCTATTATGATTTTTACCATTATTTCTATTCCTATTATTACTATTACTATTCACTTCCCGAATTTTTCTTGGCAGGAGGAGAGGATGCAGACACCTTAGCCTTCCTGGACAACGTCTTCGCAGGGCGCTGGATGAGCTCCGTTGGTGAGACAGGATTGGGGTTTGGGGTTTGGGGTTTAGGGTTCAGAGTTGTAGGTTGGGGGGACCTATAGGGGACTATATATATATATATGTATATATATATATAGGGTTTTGGGGGGACCTATTAAGGGATGATGCATTGCAAATTTAGTCCACGGCTCGCATCTCTTTCCTTTGGCTAGCCGGGAATGGAAAAGAACACGGAAACGATTATCATGGGTCATATAGGCTTCAGGGTTTTAGAAGGAATAGAAAGGAAAATGGAATTACTGTAATGGGTTATATAGGGACTACAATAGGGACCTTTTTCTTCATTCCGAGCTAAGCAAGCTTCAGATAGGTGTCGCTGTAAGAGGGTGTAGATGCGGGTCTCGCGCGGGGACTTTCAGGTAGTCACTGCAGCTCCAGCAATCGTGTGTCCTTCCTTGGAGTGCTCCTGGGGTCGGGCAACAGTTCTGATTTGCGCCAATTTTTCACGACTTTGAGTGGTGGAATTTGCAGGAGAGGAGGAGTTTGACCTTGGCGAGCTCCAGCTGCTGGGCTGCAAATGAGTTTGTGGGGCCTTTGAGCTCATGATTGGATTGCCCCTATTTATCACCACATATGCTGACCTCAGTTTTCAAGAGATTACCAGAACGCGACTGCATAGCCCCTGGAAAAAACTTGTAGCGACCCTGAAAGCTCAACTCGGATATCGCAGGGATGTTCGAGAGTCATGTGGGTACTTCCCAAAATTCTGGTCCCATGTTGGTACCCCAAGGTAGTAGGTGCTCCCATATAAGATTTATAGCCAAAAGGTGCCCGTAATAATTTTGAGTGCAGAATAGCCCCAAATCCTGAACCCTGAACCCTAAATCCATAATTTTGAAACCCAAGCTCATAAATTGAGATCCAAGCCCTAAATTAAAAGAAACCTAAATCCTAAACCCATAATTTTGAGAATAACCCGCTAAACCCAAAACCCTTAAATCGTAGCTTCCATCCTTTCCATTATCCCCATATAACCCCTATATGACCCATTATAACTTGGGTCCTGCCCCCATCCAGCAACAGTTGGATAATATGTATATTATGAGTACCCCTACTATAGGCTGTTACTGGGTGGGGGCAGGACCCAAATTATAACCCCATATATTCCACTATAACCTCTACCCTAAACCCTA